AGAGATCGCAGATTGCGCTGCACACACACATAAACTTGTTGTCAACGCTTCCCCACGATTTTTATTAATAAAATAGCCTAGATACTAGATCGCTACATTATATTCCTCAGCAACGATGGTAAAATGGCTGTTTCTGAAGTAATTGTTTGTAGAAAGAGATGCGCAGATGCAGCACACAGGTACACACAACTGTCATCTCTCTCTCATAACCTGTGAATAATATTTCACAATATTACTGTTTTTGCTAGACGTTTGATCAAGTAAATGCAGCCTTGGTGAGCATAAGAGACTTCTTTCAACAGAACAGAACCCAAAAGGGTAGTGTACATTATGTATAATACATGGAACATGCCATATGTGGGCACTTCAGTGAACATTTTTGAGTAAAATGCAAACGCATCAAATGCAACTATTATTACATCTGTCTTGTTAACATACTTCCACGTTGGAAGGCATTGCGAAACTAACCAAGTGATACGGCCTTTAGGAAACTTAATGGCAAAGTAAAAACCTGCCTCAGTCAATGCACATATATCATGAATATTCAATATATTGTCCTGGTTGAGTCCTGGTTGAATATTTTTTTTTTTTCTTTTTTTTTTTTTTATAAACAGTGTTCATTGAAATGTCCTTTCTATTTGAATTTAAGCTTTGTTAAATGCAACTTTCTGCAGAGCAAGCGCCTGAAACGGCAGGAAATATTTGCCCAAGATGGCCTGACATGGCAGAAGATAGTTCAGTTCTTCACCCAACATCTGGAGAAGAAAGATCAGCCTGCGGCCACTCATGAGTTAAAGAATATTCTCCAAGCAGCCAAACAGATCGGTAGGTAATTCATATATTCGGTGTGATTAAAAAACAGTCCAATCAAGAATTTACAGTATAGTGCACTTTACAAACTGTCACAAATGGGCTCTTTCAGTGCAGACAGCTTCATTGATTTTAATTGAAGTTAGTTTTGATGTGACAAACCAAATGCTTCTGGTGTAGATATAGTGTAACTGTAGGTTGTTTATGTTTGCCGAACACATCTTACTGTCACAAATGTGAGTAATGATTATTTTTTTGTTCATTAAGTGATATTTATAATGTAAAGCTGTTTTTTTGCACTGTTGACAGACTAATAATTAATTTCTAATTATTCTATGAACATATGCCTATATTTTTATTTTGACATTCTGGGTGGTGTGCTACTTGCAGTTATATTGCTCGCATTTAAAAATGCGTCAAGCAGTTATATTGTTTGCAAAAATGCTCACGTTTGCAGCGCACACTTAATATCAGTTGAAATTGGGGAACAAGTTAACTAACGACCAGAGACTAAACATAAAGGAAACCACTTGTGTCATCTCGCTTTCTACAATTGCCATAAGTGCAGTTGTAGAGAGAGGGAACAGTGAAGGCCCATGTAACGTGTCAGATGTGTGTTCAAGAGGTTGCTTTTGCTTACAATTGCCACTATTAGTACTGTACATAGTTCATTGTTTCCACAGACTTGCACTCTATGTGGTGCAGCACTTCCCCCAGGGAAAATATATATATATATACCGTTTCACATTTACAATTCTGCTTTAAGTGTTTGCTGCATAAAAACATTTTCGCGTTGGTCTGAACTAAAACAGCAGACAGGCTTATTGAAAATGCAAATTCATTCTCTGCCAGCAGGAGGCACTTTTGAAGCGACAGAACTAGACGTTTCCCCGGTAATGCCTGCAATCAAAGCAGTACGGCGCTCAAAAACGCTACTTTATCAGGCATCATAAGAAAGATGAAATGAAAATGACATCAAAGCTTTTCTGAAGACAGTTGGTTCCCTTCAAAGACACGTTTATATAAAAACACCCACGCCACATTTTGATTTTGAAACGTGCAGTGCTCAAGTTTATTCAACAAAGTCAAATCCTTTTGGAAAATCAATTTGTGGCGGTTAGTTTTGATATTGTGGTGGGCCGCCACAAATAAGTCAATGTATGGGAAACATTACAATGTATATACCAATTTGGAGTAGACGTCACAGTTACGTTACATGCAGCTGCGCGCACATTTTGGTGGCAGAAAAACACTGGGAACAATATAATATTCACATATGCAGTTCATAGGGGACATATTGTATTAGCTCTGCAGTTACAGCATGAAATAGCCTACTATTTAAACCTATAACTTTTGCCTATTTTATCTCACAATTCTGACTTTTTTTCTCGCAAATGCAAGTTTATATCTCCTAGTTCGGACTTTATAACTTAATTTAACGCAACAATTGCAATTTTGTCAATTCTGAGGGGAAAAAAAGCCAGAAGTGTGGGATATAAACTCACGATTCTGAGCCGAGGGGAAAATAGAGAATAATGAGGTTTTTTTAATTTTTTAAATTTTTTTGTCAGAATTGTGAAATATAATCTCGGAATTCCGAGAAAAAAGTCAGAATTTTGAAATACAAACTCAAAATTACCTTTTTTATTCCATGGCTTCCATAGACCGCTACTTTAAAACGGTCATTTTCTGCCACCAGATAGGCTCCGCCCACAAAAAAAC